TGGGGGTATTAAATTACAAAATTGACATTATAAACATGACAAAGTAAGGTTAATTTAGGGATATCATATTTTTACAGATTCATTGGCTCTTTTATAATAGTATAGATAGATTACACAAAGGGCAATGCTATATGTACACCCCTTTTTTACACACAAGGGGGTGTACATATAGACACCCCCTTTATCTATTACATCCCTTTAACTTTTTTAAATGTAAAATTAACACTATATATCTATGTTATATTTTATATTCACACCCTCAATAACTCAAAGTACTTAAAATAACGAGACAGTTGGAGACAACTTATAATTTCCAAAAGAACGAGCAAAGAATTTGTGAACAATTTGATGTGAATGGAGAAGTTTATTAGGCCAATAGATGGTGGGATGTAAGTGGAACCAAACCTCAAGGTTGATTTTCATACTTTCTAGAGTTATCTACGTTTTTAGTGCAACTAAAAACATCTAATTATCCTACAAAAATGATCTAAAGAAAAATAAAACTATACATACATCAAACGTATAGTTACATACCTCCTGATAAACCTCTGTTATAGGTTTATTATCTTTTCTGTATGAATTCAAAATGTCAAGGAACGCTTTGTACGCATTATTATCTCCTTGAAATCTAGCCTGTAATTAATTTCGAAGTGATTAGCTTATAAAACAATAAGAGATAAGCAATAGGGCACAAAGGTTTCTAGAGATATGATGCTTAATTAGTCAGTCGTACCTTGATTTTCTTTGCAAAACGGACAGCTTCTTCAAATTCAACTGGCTTCTTCCTCAGAAATGGTTCTTCGTCGTCGGGAGAGAGGGCGATTTCGTAATCTTTCGGTAAAAAGGCATTGAAGCCCAGAATTAGGTCGTCGTATCCTTTAAATAACTCTTTCACTCTCCTTATAACATCAGTTGTACCAATTCTACAAGCACAATTTCAAATAAGATGCCCATCATTAATTAGTATAACATAAACTGACTTGAATAGGCAAAATTGCATTTTTAGTTCTGCTGGTTTAGCGTCGTAGCATTTTTAATCTGAAGATTTTGACTTTTTTGTCTTTTGATCTTGTAATTTAGTATTTTACTGCAAAATTTAAAATTAGCATTTTAAGTCCTGCAATTTTAAATTTTGTTGCATTTTCAGTACTAAATGACAGAAATTGCATTGATGTTTAAAATCATAGAACCAAATAACAAAAATGTTCAATTTGTAGGACTAAAAAACCCACTGAATCAAACCAACAAGACTAAAATTACGATTTTGCCGACTTGAATATTAAGGGAATAACTGTAGCTAAAGAAACAATAAAAAAGAACAGATACTCACATTTGAGCTTTGAAATCTTTCATGATATCAATGAACTCATCATATTTATCCCTTTTGTCTTGAAATACTTCTCTCACAGTTTTGAGATATGACAAAGCATCAGTTGTAGTCAACTGCATGTCGCTTGTAGTTGACATTTTGCCTTGTCCGGACCTTCATTAGCCACCAATATGCATATTTCAAGTAAATAATAAGCAAGCACAATCCATGTTTTTGATAATTTTATTTTATTTTAGGTAATGTAATATCAATAATTTGATTTAAATCTATTAATTAATCTTTTCAAGTTTTTTTCAATCAATTATTTTATTTCGATGTAATCAAAATTTATTATTATTATTATTGTTTTATTATTATTATTATTATTATTATTATTATTTTTTATGATGTGATATCGGCAGTTTCATGTTAAACTTTATAATCAATTATTTTCATCTCAACCTAATATTAAAATTTTATTTGATTTGAAAAATATAAAATTAGGGATATTGTTATAGGTTAATCACTCCATGATAATTATTTGAAACTAGAAAAAATATAAAATATAAAATAGTTTCTAAAATGCCTAGATGAAAATAAATTATAACAATGATTGTCCTATTTAGTTTCATATTATTTTCTATTTTTTTTGCATATGTAAATTAATAATGTTATTATCATTTTATTTTTTTAAAAAAAAATAATAACATCTTATTTTGTATCTTTTGTTTATATGTAATATGAAATTAACCTTTTACTTGCAATATTTGATTTGACACTCATGTTGTATGCATAAATAAAAAAAATAATTATTTCTAAGGTATTAATAAGTTTAATAGTTACTATTCATATAATAAGGAACTTAAAGTTTAATATTTACTATCAATTTAAATATAGATTTAGTTTGAAGATATTCATGCAATAAAATATAAATGTATATATAAAAAATATATATTTAATTATTTAGTATGAAATAATATAAGTTAGTAATTGTTATATTTATTGCACATGAATTGAAAAAAATTAATACTAAAAATATGTAAAAAAATATAAGTAATTAATTATTTTGGGGATCAAGTATGTACGAGATTAAAATAATAAACTAACAAGTCATTTGTTGAACTTCCATATATATTATTATATGATAATAAATCAAATTTATAATATATATTGCTATAAAATATGATAAACCGACATTAATGTTAGCCATCTGTCGAACTGCCTGAAAAAAAAAAAAAACTAAAAATATTGTCATACATATTGTTATAAATTATAATGATAAATAAGTCGATGTCGAACTGACATGTGAGTTACTGTATTCGAAAGAAAATCCAAATATTTATAATATACATTATAAAAAAATTAAAATAGTTTTTTCAAATATATAATTAAAATTAGTAAATTTTATAAATTTAATAGTTACAATATTCATTTAAATTAAATGTAAATTATATTATTTATTGCAAATTTTTAACTTTACCATCATTATTTAGGAATCGAAATAATATATTGTAATACTGTATGAATAAGTGAAGAGAGAGAAAAATATTTTAAAGTGTATTATTTAATGATATGATTAGAATATGTTAAATTTCACATTGTTTAATTCTAAACATGAATTATAAAATGATAACTATTTTATAATAACGGAAATACACACTAAAATTATATATTAAACTATTATATATCATAAAATAAAGGAAAAGATAAAAATTAATATTAATAGTCAATATTATGAATATGTGATGGTCATTCTCAACTTTAATATATATATATATATATATATATAATTTACTATTATGATTATTACATCATGTAACCACGGGTTACGTACTAGTTAATAAAAAAAACACATACACACATACACATATATACCATTATACATATATATATATATACACACATATAAATGTTTGGAATTTCCTAAAAATGGAATTATTTTCTTGCTAAACATTTTTTGTTACTAAATAAGAAATTCATTTATATATTTTTCTACAATTATTTTTTCTGTTTCATTTTTTTTTCCAAAACGGTAGATAATATTATAAATCAAAATGCACAAATGTGCGAATACACAGCAACCAACGGCTGAATACACAGCAGCCAACAGCTGTGGAAGAACATGTCAGAAAACTGCCTAGAATCCCAGCTAGCAACGCTAGAATAAAAAAACTCTCGCAACTAAACTAACCAACAACAGAAACAACTAAAACAACTACCCAAGTGTCGGACCCCAACAGAGTAATACCCGAGTGTCGAACCCCAACAGGGTAATAAGGTGACACTTGGGTGTACAGAGTGACACTCGGGCTCACAAGGGTCAACGACCCTAACAAAAAATACAAGACACTCGCAACACAAATTCGGATACAAAACCAAAAACACAAGAAACAAAAACATAAATAAATGAAAATAAAACTAGAAGCCCTTCCCCAGCGAACGAGTAGACCCGAACCAGCAGTGAACAATCGACACAAGAGAGATTCCTAGCCAGAAAATCTACCGAAACTGCGCGAACGCCTATACAAGTAGCCGAGACCGAGACCCAGACCGAGCTCGAACCAATCCCCGAATTGACCCATCTTTAACTGGAAGAGAATCGACCAACCCCCACACCGGACCACCCGAACCCGACTAACACCACTAGCCGAGCTCTGGTTCCCCCGCCGCCTAACACCACTAGCCGGGCAGGGTAAGATGAAGGTGGGTCTGACCCTTTACCCCGTCCACCACGGCTAAAAGCTGTAGCGACCGGAGCCCCGCCCCTCCAAGGACTCGCACTCCGCCCAATCGAAGGCCGAGGCTCCACTACCCAAATGAGGCAGAGCCCCGCCAAAAGGGGTCGGGACCAAGATTTTCCAACAAAGCACAGACGAACGACTTACCTTCGCAAAGCGAGGCTCCACAGGCGATTGAGGGGAAAACTCCCGTCGCCAGCCAAGCACCGGCCCTGAAGGAGCCACCAACAACAGGAACTCCGCCAGAAATCTCGAGTCAGACCTCCAATCGCAGCCCTTCCACAGCGACATCGAAGGCGCACTTCATTTTGGGGGGGGGGGGGGGGTGTGAGCAGTTAACGACGACCCCTAGCCAGAGGCCCGCCTTCACCGGAGAAGGCCAGTCGATCGAAAATGGAGGAAGAGACGCCGACGAGATTTGGGTTAGGGTATCGGGAGAGGATCTTTCCGTTTCATTTTGGTAATTTTTATCTTTACCATATCCATGATGAGAAGTTTATTTTTATTTTAGGTAACGTGATAAGAATAATTAATATAAATCTATTAATTAAACTTTCCATATTTTTTAATAAATTATTTTACTTCTACTTAACCAATTTTTATCAGTGTTATAAAAGTTGCTAGGCGCCCGTAAGGCGCTCGGCCAGCGCCTAGCGCCTAGAGCGCCTAGGCGGGGCCTGGTCGGGGCCTAGAAATCAATACTAAATATCTTATTTTTTATTTATGTTAACTACCTACAAAATAACATTATCTCAACTTATAATAAATTGACACACCTAAGTCCAAATAATAAAATTACTATATTTTAAAGAAAACATGAGAACGAATTAATGTAAATAATATTTAAAAAATTAAAAAAAAAAACTGAAAAATTTCCGCCGAGCCGCCTAGGTCCCGCCTATGCCCGCCTAGGCGCCGCCTAGGCTGATTTTTAGAACAATGATTTTTATTTTATATTTAGTGATGTGATGAATAATTTGATACTAAACTTTCCAATACTTTCTATTGTGTTTCATCTCTTCCTTTGTTTTGTTTTGCTTTTTTTTTTTTTTACCACGGTTTCTATTGGGTTTTATCTCTACCTCAACTTGTTTGAGATTAAAAAGCTTTGTTGTTGTTGTTGTTGTAAACTTTCCAATACTTTACAATCAATTATTTCATTTCTATCTAATATAGAATTTTATTTAATTTCAAAAATAAGTTAAGGGGTATAGTTATAAATTAATCACTCTAAGAATAGTTATTTAAAAATTTATAAACTATATAAAATCTAAAATATTTCCTGAGACGCCCATATTTTATTTCCTCTTTAGTTCTTTTTTTTTTTGCCGAAACGATAGAGGTAATATAGAAAGTGCAAAAGGAACAAATTACAAGACCCCAACAGGGTAATCTAAAGACCCCAACAGGGTAATGAGACAGGGGCCAAAGGCCCAAACCAAATATACGCCTAAAAACGAACAAGAATAAAAACAAAGAGGACACGCACATGGCAGCCTAGAGAACTCCACAACCGGAAAATAAAGGGAAATGAAAAACAGGGCCACTGGACACAATTATTCTTCACCGAAACTAAAAACACAAAGACAAACTAATAAAACACAACTAAGAACAAAAAAAAACTAACAAAGACTAGGCTCTCCCTCAAGAGGACATCCGAATAGAATAGAAGACATAGGCAGACTCGAAGAATAGAACTGGAACTCAGGAACCTCGCCCCCCACTGCCTAACGCCTAGAAAAGACAAGGGCCCAAGCCCCGGACCAATCCAAGCAAATCGACCCGCTCCCCAAACGTAAGAAGCCACAATCACCCCCAACCGGCTAACACCACTAGCCAAGTCCAACACCGTCCCGGAATCGACTAACACCACTAGCCAATTCTGGAAACGGGTAGCCTCCCTCGGACTCGGGACCGAGAAAAAGAGAGGAAGGGAAATGAATGACGTCAAAGCTCCTGCACCCATGCGCTGCCCCGACGAGTGACCCATTGTCCATCGAGCTCCAAGAACTGACCCCAGCCTATCACCCCCACAACACCAAGAAGCCGGAGACCGGAGTCGCAAGAAGGAAATTCCGGCCGGAGCAAAAGAAACGGGAAATCAGAGGAAACTCAAAGCCCGACGAGAAGAGTCGACCCGAATAGGAGGTAAACATAGGCGGCTCGAGCCACAACCAACTTCTGGCGCTGCACTCCACCCAACTCGACCGCGACGAGACGCCGTCGAGCAACACCCAGATCCACCCAACCTAAGCTAACCCAACCGCATCCTGCTGGAAATCGAAGAAAGGAGAAAGCCCATGACCAGACCTTGGTTGCGCAGTGGAGGGCCGTCCTCCGACGACCCGGATGGCTGAAGAAGGAGGCTCAATCGGCGGCGAATTTATGGGTTAGGTTTTGGCGATTTGGGGAAGACGCAG